GAGTTGGAGGTTGCTGTGAGCTGTAATGCCACGGCACTCTGCCCAGGGGGACAGCTTGAGGCTCTGTCTCAAAAAAAAAAAAAAAAAAAAAACAAACTTCCTACTCAAAATGAGTCTATAACCAAATTCTAAACTTTATGAAGATGTCTAATATTGATATCATGACAGTCAACCACAGGCATTTTCTCTGGATGAAATTAATTTTATGGAGTAGTCCAACAAAGATTTTATTTTAAAAAATAAATTATTTTATTTATTTTTTTTTTGACTAGGTAATACATGCACGTGGTACAAAATTCAAAGGTTACAAAAGGGTAAACAGTGAAAAGTAAGTCTCTATCCACCTCTGTCGCCTAGCCACCCAGTTTCTCTCCCCAGAGGCAACCACTATTACCAATTTATGCATGTACAAACATTTATATACACACTCACACATACATACACTTTTATATAAATGGTAGCATTCTATGCATTCTATTATTTACCTTACTTTTTCTACTTAATAACACATTTAGAGATCATTCCATATTAGTATCCATAGGATGATCTTATTTTTAATGGCTGTATGGTATTCCATTGATTGGTAGAAACTTTTAAGCCTTAAGAGTGCTCAAAGAAATCAAGGATACTTTCCAATTAAAGAGCTCAAAACTGAAACAAAGGGGATTAAACAAGAACAAGGTAATGTATTAAAGAACAAACTGTAATTCTCAGAAATTAAAAATGTACTTGGGGCTTGGCACCCTTTGCTTAGTGGTTAGGCTACCAGCCACATACACCGGAGCTAGCAGGTTCGAAGCCAGCCCAGACCTGCCAAACAACAATGACAACTACAACCAAACACTAGCTGGGTGTTGTGGCAGGCACCTGTAGTCCCAACTACTTGGGAGACTGAGGCAAGAGAATCCCTTAAGCCCAAGAGTTTGAGGTTGCTGTGAGCCACTCTATCGAGGGTGGCATAGTGAGACTCTGTCTCAAAAAAAAAAAAAAAAAAAAGTAGTTGGTATGTTAAAAACTCAATAGATGGGATAAATCCTTTATACCATTGATAAGTGAATTAGTGAGTTGGGAAATACAAAGGGGTGCCCAAAAAATGTATACACATTCAAAGCAATGTTATCTATGTATTGTTTTTTCTTTTTTTTTTTTTTGAGACAGAATCTCACTATGTTACCCTTGGTAGAGTGCCATGATGTCACAGCTCACAGCAACCTCAAACTCTTGGGCTTAAGCAATTCTCTTGCCTCAACATCCCAAGTACTTGAGACTACAGGTGCCCACCACAGTGCCTGGCTATTTTTTTTGTTGTTGTAGTTGTTATTTAGCTGGCCCTGGCCAGGTTCAAACCCCCCAGCCTGGGTGTATGTGTCTGGCGCCCTACCTACTGAGCTAGGGGCGCTGCCCTATCTATGTATTGCTTTTTGAAGTTGAATTCAAGATACCATTATTGATCAAGTATACCTTAGACATACTGTGCACATCCATTTTACCTGGAATTCATACACTTTGGGGGAATGATTGATTATTGATTTTACTTCCAATAAGATAGTTTAAAGTGTGTATACATATTTTTGGCCCCTAGTACTACTAAAAAATTTATGTAGAAAACAAAAAAGGTAAAAATATGAAACAATAGTTAAAAGACAGAATTAGAGTGTATATAAAGGATTACAGAATAAGAAAATGCAGAGATTGATGGAGAACTAATTTTTGAAGATACAATGGTTGAGAATTTTTAGGACTAAAGAAGTGGCCTGAGACCTCCATCAAAAGGCTCAAGTGGCTAAGGCGCCAGCCACATACACCTAAGGTGGTGGGTTTGAATCCAGCCCGGACCTGCCAAGCAACAATGATAGCTGCAACCAAAAAATAGCCAGGCGTTGTGGCTGGTGCCTGTGGTCCCAGCTACTTGGGAGGCGGAGGCAGGAGACTCGCTTGAGCCCAGGTGTTGGAGGTTGCTGTGAGCTGCAATGCCACAGCACTCTACCCAGGGGGACAGCTTGAGGCTCTGTCTCCAAAAAAAAAAAAAAAAAAAAAAAGTGAACCTTAAACATAAATCCACATATAGGCAGGTTGTGGTAAACTCTAGAAGATCAAAAATCAAGAGAGACTCTTTTAATTAATTTATTTTTAAGAGAGAATCTTAAAAGCCACCAAAGTTAGAAGTCGTGAGATAAGGTAATTTAACTATCAAAAGGTTTTTATCTTCAATATTAAGGCAAAATAATGTTTATTCACATGTTATATATAAACTGTTAATCCAGACTGAAGAATTTTAATTAGGTAACGGGTTAAATGTTATTAATAGCAAAAGAAAATAATTTAGGAGTTTTGGGGGAATACATTTAACTCAAAATTAGAACTAAATTCTGGATTACCATTGTCCAACAGTAGTATAATGCTAGCCACATATGTACTTTTAAATTTCATAGTAGCCACATTAGAAAAGAAAAAAGAAAGAGGCAAGGTTAATTTTTTTGTTTGTTTTTTTACAGTTTTTGGCCAGGGCTGGGTTTGAACCCGCCACCTCTGGCATATGGGGCTGGTGCCTTACTCCTTTGAGCCACAGGCACCACCCAAGTTTAATTTTTTTAACTGTATTTTTTACAGATGATGTTTCACTATTGCCCAGGCTAGAGTGCAGTGGCACAGTCATAGCTCACTGCAGCCTTTGTCCTGGGTTCAAGTGATCCTTCT